CAGCTGGCAATAAAAATCGCACCTCTTGACATACACCCCAAAAATGCACAGCTATACGCCTATCTCTAGTTAGACTTCGTCTAATAGACTAGCTACAAGATTCGTGGATTAGCTCGTTGACTGCAACGAGTTCAACTAATGAAGAGAGGGAGAGTTCTCCTGCATTCCCCAGTTGATACAAGCGAAGCAGAGTGCCAAAAAGCTTCAACATTGATACCACTAAAACATTTGTATGTCAGAATTGCTACCGTCTTTACCTGTGGATCAAATGTACTTCAAGCATTTTCACGAAATGAATTGATTGAAAATTGATTTGGCTAAACAAAATGCGAATGGTCTTTGCAGATGGATAGTCTTCCTGACGATCTTCGCGGTCATTGTCAACTCGATTATATCGTTTCCAATGGGAACTATGCTCTACCTTTGTTATCTAGTCCGACCAGAAACTATTCCTTTGCTGCTGATCTCCTTCGAAATGGGTTCAATCACTAAACGATTCTCCTCCTCTCCTCATCTTTATGCTCTTCTATGTCAAGCTGTGTTTTTCTATCAGGTACAGCTTCCTATTTTTACTGAGCACTTTCAAGAGACTTCTTTCAGGGTCAAACTAGCAACATCTCCTCAATTGATATCGCCATAGGCTACAAAGGGCTTTCGTCATATAGCGCAGCTTTAGTCGGATTCCAAATCATTGCTAATTTCTACGCTGCGCCGATTGCCCTCACTATAGGCTACTTGTAAGTCATGAGCATCTCAATCGTGGGATGCAAAAAAAATCCGTGCTTTCAGAAAGGAATCCCAAGCCTTCAATTCCGAAGACTATGTCCGCCTTATTGGAGCTGCTCTCCAACTGCGTTCTGTAATTCTATTCTCTGCACTTAGTGGCATGATCACTCTGTCCGGACATTTGTTTATGTTCAGTGTACTTGCTCCAAAGTTGATTTGTGAATTGCTGCATATGATCTTTATTTTGCTGCTTATCGTTTGCGGGTGCATTTCTCACTTCTGCCTCAAGAAACTTTCTCAGCTCAATTATTTCAAGAATCAAATAAAGGAATCATGAACAAATCTTGGCAGACGCTCTACCAATACACGACTATTTATGAGACGAAAAAATACATAAGCCATAAATTCAACAACATGAGGTGGGATACAAGACAGGTACAACTAAATCCAACAACTTTTTACAGAAGCCCTTGTCTTTTGAGATCTTCGTACATCTTTCGAGTAACTACATTGCCCGCAGAGTCCTCAAATTCTTCGTCGAGATCCGGATTCCATCGCTGTCGCTCCTGTAAAAACTCGTGTAGCCTTGGTTTATATGTCTACTCCAAAATTGCAAACGTTATCTATACAATTAAGAGCGAGAAAGACTGAACGACAGTGTTGACACCCCCTTAGCTTTTATGTAAAACATACTGAACAGATACGGTCTCGAAATCAATTTTTTAAAGGCTCTCCTGTGTATCATCGGTTCCCAGATTCGTGCGAAGGGGTGTCTTGCCAACAGCGTGGCGGTTTTTGCTCCTCGCGAGAAAGTACGATAAGGGAAAGTCCGCAACATCACATAATCTGGGAGCCGAGCATATTTACCTCGTAAAACCCGAAACAAATCGAAAAAAAAATC